TATAGGTGGAAGACTCGTGGGAAAGTCATCTCTTTGACTGACACTTCATATTTCCCATTAAAATGACCTAAATACGAATATTACTAAGCTTTTGTATTCGTTCTTATTTATAAAGTTTAGTCGTTATAATGTTTTTATCAGATTTATCAGTAATCCCAAAAGAATACTGACGTATAGCTGATAAGGAACAACCATGTAAAAATCTTATCAGAGGTAGGATCCGTTTGGTATATAGATATACACAGTTTGGAAAATCCACTTTAAACACCTCACGGATCTAGCGTAGACATCACTTAAGTAAGTAGATCGATCAGTATAATGACTAGTATTATTGACAAATCTTATTTATAAGTTCATAATAACATTTACGAACATAAATATAAGTTATACTTAAAGTACGGTAAGCTTAACTTTTTTTGTTGGGCTCTTTGATGCCTCAGAGCCTCGCTAAAGTAGCCGGAAACTCAGGAGAATCGGGCTCTGAATGTAGGAGAGTTTGAAGAGGATTTAAGGTGACAAAGTTGTGAGAAATGAGCAAATCTTACAACTTATTTTATAGGTTGCCATGGGAGGCTATGCTGAGCGTCAGGATAGTGGTAAGCTTAGCGGAGTGGCGTAGGCGGCAAGCATTGAACCTGGTGCTGAACGTGGCATCGAATGCAGGTAAAACTGCAGATCTTCAAAAATTCATATCTCTCGCATACGAACTTCGTTTTCGACGTTCTTTATACCCACGTGTAGGTATTTTCGAGTACTACAACTTTCCTTTAGACTCCATCAACTAATTCTCATTCTATTTTAAATTTTATAATTTATGAAGATTACACTGCAAAAGATCATGCAAATTTCATAATTTCTTCATACGAACTCTGTTCTTAACTGTCTCTATATCAACAGATTCGTATTTACGAGATCTTCAACTCTCGTTTATATTGTTTTGCCTAACAATCAACCATTTTTAATTTCAATTTTTGTGTCGCACACTTTGTACCGTGTCGCACCGAAGCTTCAAAAAATCATAACTTCCTCATACAAAGTCAGATTTAAACGTTCTTTATATGCACACTTCGTAATTTCGATTACTACGACTTTCATTTAGATTACTTAGGCTAATAAGAAATCTATCTCTGATTTATCTTTTATGACACACTTTGTCGTATAAGACTGAACGTGAAACTTCAAAGAATCATAACTTCTTCATACAAGCTAGATTTTGGCGTTCTTTATACCCACAGAATCGTCATCACGACCACTACAAATTTCATTAAGATTATTTATCCTAAGTAACCTTTTATTTTTAAGCGTTTATTTAACGTAATTCGTTAAATTTTATAATATTGTTATATATATATATATATATATATATATATATATATATATATATATATATATATATATATATATATATATATATATATATATATATAAAACATGTACGCAATATATAGATATCTTTTATATAACTTGTATCGCGTACGAAGGATTCTTAATTATGTACGATTATCCTATTCGAGGATTTAATTATTCGATAAAACGAATATTTATAATTTAAAATTCTTAAAACGTCTTATCCCGAATTCACGGACGTTACAAACAACATATTAGCGACAACGGAAAACAATTTAGAGGAAACCCCTTCAAAAGAAAGGTGCATCATCATGAAAATTTAACAAGCATTCACCTCAATAATACATCCACAGGCGAATAGCCAAACAAAAGCTACTAATAGAACAATTTGGAAAGGATCAAAGATAAGGCTAGCAAGGGCCAAAGGTAGGTCGGTAGACGAGCTCCAAAGTATTCTATGGTCATATTGAACCATAACTAGGACCGCCACAAACGAAATACCATTTAACCAGCCTTAAGACAAAGCATCTTATAAGTACTAAACCGAGAAGTACTACAACAATTATGTTAAAGAGAGAGCCCACAAGGTAGAAGGCCTAGTACTTTTAAAAAAATGAAGCTAGTAGAGGTGAAGATCAAGGCAAGTTAAGTCAGAAATTTAATGGTCCTTACAAAGTAATCATAGCCCATCTCAACGGGTCTCACGTGCTCGAGACACTCCAAGGTACCTGGGTTCCATGCACATGGAACATAAAAAACCTAAAGAAGTATAGCTTCTAAAAGAAATGATATCGTTTCTTTCCGCGCCTTGCAAAGCTCGAACCTTGTTATTTACTATTTACGTACTTCTAAAATTTTCATACTTCTTCTTACTTTCATTTATGGTTGTTTTCAAAGTCAATTGAATGCACTAACAACTTTAGCATACTTACACATTCTGTAAAAATCAATCTGGTCCATTTAGGTTATTCGCAAAATACCTAGGGTAGGTCCATAGAGGTTTCCCTAGGCTATTCATACAATACCTAGTAGACATCCGTAAAGTGTCCCTTGGCTATGCCAGCAGCCAGGAAGTCACTCTCGATGACATAAAGGTGTTTGAACAAACTTTCACTAAGCTTAGTCATAAGATACCTAGTGGATGATCCAGCCTTCACCAACAATGGAAGCAAATCATTATGCCCACCCTTTGGGAAAACACATTAGATTTGAAGCAATCATTATTCCACCTGATCCCACCATTTGGAGAAACATGTATTACATTTTTGAACTAATGTGATTACAAGAGGAAAAACACAAGTCCGTGTTTCCTCTCAAAATGAAAGACAAAGTTTATGGTCGGTTTCTATGATTTTGAATGTCTTATGCAAATAATAGAAAATGAGCCTTTAAATATAAGGAAACTGGTAAGTCTAAAAACTTACAGACAAAACAGGGCTGCTATGACTCGAACCTTGGTTATTTATAAGGAGAAAATATAAGACACATTGTATACGACACATTTTGTTAAATTTTTACATAAAACGAGAGCAATAAGCACCTCCCTTCAATCGGTTGAACTACATGAAGTTTGGGTAAATTTTTACATAAACGGTTATACATATTATATTAACTATATAAATTGGTTAAAACTCAGACCCTAATTTTTAACGGTCATGTGTGATTGAACACCCCCACAGCCCTTTGGGGTTGGGCCAACCCCGAGCCAAACATAAGATAAGGCCTTCTTTAAATCGATGAACACTATAAGAGAAAATGTCCACATTTATCCAATTGTTTTAGGCTTTAAACTTCATAAATTGCATTGAATTGCTGACAAGCATTGTGCTGGACACATATATATGATTACTATAATAAAAGATATAAATCAATAGATATTGTATTATGTAATTATTAATAGGCTAGAAAAATCGTCCATTTACTCTTGTTTGACTTGGAATTTTTTTTAACTTGCCATCTAAGACTGGAGAAGACGAAGAGAAAACTGGTCGACGTTGTTATAGAGATGTTTGATTATACATGAATTATCATTAAGTAAAAAAAAAAATACAATAAAATTATTCTACATCATCAATAATTTAGTTTGTAAATTAAGAACGATAAATGAATAAATAGTTGTCTATAATTTCTTACACAATTGATTTGTTTTTTTTTTAAATTCAGTTTGGTTAACCAAATTGAGATTTTTTTTTGGTTTACAGGTCTTACGTTAAATGAGAACCAAAAAATTAGAAAATTAATTATATACTTTAATTTTTAGAGCTACTAACAATCTGTATATTTTGGCCCATATCACTTTTGAAATAGATTTATGATGGTTTTTTTTTTTAAAAGGTAAAAATTATCTCAATAGTTATTCATTTTTAATTTTTCTTAATTTTACTCGAAACATTTTGTAAAAATCTAACATTTGTCTACAAAACATTTAGCTTTACTTTAAATGTTAAAATGGTAAATAAAATGCTCATATTAATACAAAGCTTACTTTTGAAGTGATATCAACATACCCAACATTTAACTATACTTTAATGTTAAATGGTAAATTAAATGTTCATATTAATAACGAAACCATTTATTAAATATTCAACATTTATTTATTTTGATGGTTAAATAAAATTTGTTTGTGATTTTTAAAGAATATCAAATTCAATATATTTATAAAAAAAAGTATGCGAATTTTTAAACATGATTATTAAAACTTATTTTTTTAATAATGTAGTTTCTAATTTTTCCTTTTTAACAGTAATGTACTTTCTATTTTTCTGTCAAAATTTACCATAACGGATAACAAAACCTCATTAACCGATTAAATAATACTAAATTAGATGAGAAAATTTTATTAAACATTTCACAAAAATAAATGTAAATTAGTTAATATTAAAAAAAAAATAATGATCAATTTAATAGGTTTTTTCTTAATAAAGTTACTAAAAAAATTATGAGATAAATCAAAAAATTGTGATATTAGTCCCACTTAGGGGTTGTTTGATAAGCTCTTAATGCTAATCAAGCAATAAACATGAAATAGAGTGTTGAAGAGGAAAAAGAGCATCAGAACAAAACTCAGAAGCCACAGAAGACCAAAAAGAAATTGTGATTTCTATGTCATTAGGTGAAGAAACTAAAGATCAAGATCAAGAACATGATGAAATGGAACTATTTGGGAAAAATTCATCAAGAACAGACTCATAGCCTCTAAACCAGACAACCTCTTTATAAAACAAGAAAACATACTCCAAAATATCAAAACCCTAAACTGTTAGCTGCTGTGTTGTTCCATGAAAGCCATTAGTCAAGAGAGCATATCATCATCTGTACCTCAATTCATACTATACTAGATCAACTTAAGACAAACAGATAACATTTATATCATAATGTGACATTAAGAGTTTCCTCCTTAATCTTTCTCCCCTAAGTTTTGTTTCAGATTTGTTCCTTAATTTTGTCCATGGTTACTTGTTTATTATGTATGCATTTCACATGAGATAGCACGAAGAAACATACAACAGAAAAGCTACTCTGAGTTCTTCAAATCAAGGAAGTTTGGTATTTACAGCAATAAAATCATTACCATGAATACATATAAGGAACAGCGAAAACAGGGATACAAACTCTGTGTTCAAGATAAGCGAGAAATGCATACATACCATTTCTTAAACCCCATCACCGGATGTTGTTGATGTTGTTGTAGCCATGGAGGTTGATTTCTTCTTCCTATCTTCTTCATACTCAGGATCATCTGTAGGCAACTCGTACCTACAAACAGGACAAGTGTTCCTTGAACCCAACCAAGGCACTATACAATCTTCATGATACATGTGTCCACAAGGCAATTGCTTCACAATCTCCTTTTCGTTGTTAAACACTTTATCTTTACATATAGCACAGACTTCCATATAAGTTGACTTCACTTCAACGGTTGGCAACGCTTCCACTGCAGATTTCGCCGCCGGTGGAGCTCCTCTCTTCCCGCCGCTATCACTTTCAGCTAGGTTTTGCAACAATGCTTCGTATCCGGCAGCATCAACGTAATCGCCTGGATTGCCTACGTAACCATCACCATCTCCCGGAAGTTGAAACCTAAACTCGATCGAGTGATCTTCGAGCCCCGTTAGGATCTCAGCCCAATCGAGAATCCGGTTGCGACGGCTTAAAGCTCGGGTAGCAAAGTCACGGAGACGAAGACGGATGACATCGCGCCTTTGTCTTCTACGGGAATCTTCATCTTCCCCTTCGACGATCTCTTGTTCCTCTTCGTTGTCATCAGATCCATCACGATCTCGATCTCCATGGTTATGATTTTCATCACCTTCGTCTTCGTTATCATCGTCGTCGTCGTCATCATCGTTTTCATCCCATCCGTCCAGTTCAATTTGGAGATGATCGCCGTCGTCATCCGCGCGGTCAGAAGGAGGCAGAGGAGGCGCGTCAGCATCACGCGCAGCCTGAGCAATTAACCTAAGGACCTGAAGAAACTCGTTGCCGAAAGCAGGTTGGTCCTCATCGTTTACTTCAAGCGCTTGAGGGTGATGGACAGAGATTAACTCAACAAATCCATTCTTGCATTCGAAACATATAACATCGGGATGATCGGGTAGGGTTTCGACCGGAACCCGTTTGTTGCACTGGTAGCACCAGTATTGTGTAGGATCAGGATTAATAGGCGCTGACGGAGGCGTCGGTGGTGGTGGCGGCGGCGGCGGCGTCTGGAACGATGACGGAGTTTCGGCCATTTTGTGGTAAGAGAAGATCAAATCATTAACTCCGAGAAGAGTGTGGTGAGGACTCAAAAAGAAGAGAATTTGGGGAAACCTGAAGTTTTATACGGCCAAGTGCTAACACAAGGTTAGCACTATCTACATGAGCGTTTATTTTTAAAGGTTTGTGACTTTATTTTTATAGTTATTGAAGGATAAAGATAAAATCACTAAAAATAAGTAAATAATAATAATAATAATAATAATAATAATAAAGACAAAATTTCAAGTTTTTCCCAATGGTTTATAAAAAGTAGCATTGTAAGGATAACTATAAAAATGTTATATGGTTGGTCTCTAACATTAATTTTTGCAAAATGCTTAGATGGTTGGTCTTTAAGTTTAATTTTTGTATTGTTGGTCTTTATAGTCAGATTTATTAGAAACTAGATATTTTAAAATTCGGCTTAGATAGTGTCGAATACTCTAATAATAGATTTTAAATATATTTTAAACAAATTCTATTGGATTTTTTATGATATGGATATGGGAGCTTATTCGTATACAATAAGGTTTAGCCATACACAATAAAATTTTAAAAACAGACAATTTTACCCTTTCTTCCTTTTACACTCTACCCCCTCCCATTCTAAACCCTTCACCACGTTTCCCACTCCTACGATTCAGATACGGCTCTTATATTCAACCATTGCCCCACCCCCTTCTTCCGTCGTCGCCTCCCTCTTGATCGGCTACCGTCGCTGCCTTTGACTTGCTCAACAGTTATAGCCGCCTCCGAATTTCTCCACTGCATCGCATTCGTTCACCAATTGCCCCTGGCATGCTCCACAGGTATGCGCTAATTGTGTTTTTTTTTTCTAAAATTTTGAGCGTTTCCTATTAAATTCTGATACGTAGTATTTTTTTTCATCTTGTTAATGCTTATGATAATTTTATCAATACTAAACCCACATAAGATGTTGCGGTATTGATTTAAATGCTCCTGTTTACTGATGCTCCTGATAATGATTTTATCAATATTATCACCTGTTAATGCTCCTGTTTGTTAATGCTCCTGTGTGTGTGTGTGTTAATGCTCGTGTAATTTATGGTGAAGTCTCACGTGGGTGTTCCTTGAAGAAATAATATTTTTGCAAAAATAATAGCTAGCATGCGTTGTATTTTTTTACATCCTATTTGTTAAAGGCTACTCATACTTATTTGGTTCATTCAATCTTGAAGGTTTTCTTATTAAATTAATTTTAATAATTTTCATGTTTTGGGTTTAGTATTGACAGCATACGTAATTGAATATGTTTTGAAGTGTGGTTCCAAATAAACTGGTTTGTAATTAGTTAATGATGATCTGCTTCTTATTTAATTGCTTTCTAGATTTTATAAGAATGTTGATTACATAGCTTATCCATGTTTTGTGATTATATGTTACTAAATTTCTTAATGTGTATGTGATTATCAAATAGATGACAACAGAATCGAATACTGCGATGCAGCAAGAGGAAAAAGTTTATTTAACTACTTCGAAATTTGACTATTGTGATACTTTAGTAAAAAGTGTTCAGAGAGTTTTATTATTCTAAAGGATATGGGATATCTATTCGTGGTTCAAGACAAGACAAACATGTTATTTGCAATATGACAGATGTGGTTCATATCGAGATATACGAGGTATTTCAAGCAAATGGAAAAAAACTACTAGATCTCGTTTAATCAATTGTCCTTTCAAGATTACGTGCATTTAAGGAGATTATCGGACATAGTAATCAACCGTGTGTGATTATGTCAGATATGGAATTGGCGTTAATGAATGACATAAAAAATATTTTTCCAACGACAACAAATCTTTTATGTGTTTGGCATATTGAAAAGAACGAATTAGCCCATTGCAAAAAGTATTTTGGACATAGCTCGGCGAGTTGAAATTTGGAAATTTTGCAAAAAAAAAATGTTATATATGGTAGAAATATATATATTTATATAGTCAAGGGGTAAAGTGTAAAGTATGGTAAATTAGAGGAAAAGGTAAACTTATCTATTCATAAAAAATTGTTGTGCGTGGCAAAAATCTGTTGTGTACGAATCACCTCCCTATGGATATAGGGTTTACGTGGGTTTGGATTGAGCATATCCACATTTGCAAAAATCGATTTTGGATAATCTTTATTTTTGTAAAGATTTGATTTCAGAAAATACTTCCATTGATTTGATAATGAGCCGTTCATTCCGATATTTCTCTGCCACTCAAAGAAAAAGTAGATTCTAAAACTGTTGTACAAATTTGGGCGTTAATAAATCAAGAGTTATGGTGAATAGAATAAAAAACCGAATCAATTTGTTTAAATTAAAGCTCTATGTCTCCAACATTTATAGAAGGATTTTCTTTCGAAAAAAAAAAAATTTACACCATGATTTATGGAGATATCACAAATAAAAACCAAAATTAACTCCGGGAAACATTTTAAAATTTCTATTTTCATAATTGTTCGCAACATAGTTGGTAGTTACTCAAATGAATTATATTGAGAAATTAAATATCATCCTACCTTTTATTTCTATAAATATTTTTACCTAATAAAATTATGACATTTGTAACATTTAATGCTCATTTAATGAAATTTTAGTATACTAATTTCACATATATCATCATTTAAATGAGTAGGATAATTGGTATGAATAAAAAATAAAGGATATTTAATTTCTCATTATATTTTATTGTCTAAAGTTGGATACTCTCTGTATAAAGTTATAGGATTATTGAAATTTGAGTTTATACCTAATTATAATTAATTTTTTTCAACAGATAAGGCATGTTGGATTTAGGAGTTATTACCTAATTATAATTTTTTTTTCAATTGATAAGGCATGTTGGATTTAGGAAAGAGAATAACGGGGCAAAAATTTAGAAAGACGGTAACACTTTATGCCTAGTTACTGAGTTTTAGAAAAGAAAAGAAGTGGAAAAAAATAAAAAGAGAAAAGAAGAGAAATTAAAATACAAGAAATTGTATTTTATGTTCCCGAGTTTGAGATTCAAAATTGAAAAGAAATTTAGGAGGAAAAGTTTTCATTCCATTTCTTTCAATTTCTTTCCACTTCTATCTTTTAATGAAATTTATGAACATTAATTATTTTCTTTTCTTCTCATTTCCATCAATCCCCTTTCTTTTCTCTCATTAAGTTAAACTTGGGAACAAGGAGAGATAGTCACCAACAAAAACAAAATGAAATCTTATATTGTTTCGTTCATCACCTTAACAATCGCTCTAATCCTTTTCTCAAATATCAACTAAATCAATTATGTTTATTCTCGGTTCTCTAATCTCCCTTGAGTCTCCGTTGGTGATTTAATTGTTGGATTAAGTGCCTAAGATCTTAACTAAATTGGTATATTCTTAGCGAATAAAAGTAAAGTCATTTTGAGGTTTCTCTCATAACCAGAAGATGGTTTGGATTAATATTAAGAGAGAGATAAATGATTTATTAATATATTATATGATTAATATATTAACTAGAAATAGTCAGTAATTAATTAAGAATCAATCACAATTAATTGGAATTATTTTTGGGTTAATTAGAAATAATTAAAATGTACTATGGATAAATTACAATTGTTTAATAGTTGAACAAGGAATGCAATTCTAGATCCTTCCTAGGGTTGGACAATTTCAAGGGGCTTGGGAAGGATTCTGGAAGCCTTCTGAATCAGACAAGGAAACTGTATTTTGAATCAGATTAAAATACTATTATTTTAATATTCAAATTCAGGGTTTCAGGGTTATCTGACAACTATATAAAGGGTCATAACCCTTATGAAAACTGATCCCTTACCCCCTCATAAACAGAAATCGGATTTTCTAATCTCCTTCTCTCTTAAATATCGTTCCTAGGGTTTCCTACGGTTTCGGGTGTGACATAGTAGATGCTACCGCACTATTGGAGATAAGCTTTCCAAGGAGATCTACAAGAAGATTTATAGCATAAATTGTTTGTTGTTAAAGGTATGATTCTAACCTTATTAATTTCAATTATAGTATCTTAGAAGTTGTTTCATAAAGTATGTTGTTATAATAGTGAAAATGTCATAATATTTTAGGTTGCATGTGCTCATAAGAGTTTATGTGTAAAATCCATTATGCAAATCTTTTAATTGTAACCTAGAAAACTCATTAGTGGTATCAGAGCCTAAGATTTTCAATTATTAGTGCATATTATGAGACTGGTATTCGATGCAAATAAACTTGTCAATAGCAGGGCATAACGCGACTATATCTTGATGCGACATGCTTTTGGATGTAGTAGGGTTTCGGGATTTATTTAACTTTTTCGAATTGTAGGATCATTATTATTCATTCATTGTTGTTTTATCTGATTAAAATCCAAACCTTAATGCTTAGATAATCATAAAACCCTAATTTTAAAATTGAGGAAGTAATATAAAAGGAAACGAAAATTATTTAATTATAAGATAATTAAAGTAATTGATTTATCCTTAAGAGTTATAATACTATATGTAAAACATAAAGTCAGTCAAATCAAGAGTATGCCTTATTCATGAAGCCACAATATAAGAGAGGTATAAGAAAACGGCTTATAAAATGATCGTTGAATGGGTCACCTTTTCACCCACCGCTTCTTTGTGTGGTGGATGGTCGTTAGCTGAAAGGTTTTTAAAGGACATTAATCGCATTAAAAGTATAATGTAAAAGTACTAAAATATTCCATAAAAATCCCACTATGGTTAATTTAGGAAAAATGTGAAATTGTATGTTAATCCATGAAAACGCACATTTTTTTTCTTCGTGAGTTGTTAGTGGAGTGTGCGTTGTTCAACGAGACACTAATTTGGGACTACAAAGATAAATAATCGTACAAACTCGAAATTTATGGTTGTTGATAGAACGTATGTAGTTAACCGGCACATCAATATGGGATCATAAACGACTTCTAGGGTGTCATGCGGGTTTGCATGGTTATTCACATCTTGTTTGTGATTCTCGACATCCCAGTTACAAATCGAA